TCGGTTTATACCAAATCTTATGAAGTTCAGTCCATGGTCCAAAAGGGTAGTTGTCTAGCTGGTCCCATGTTATGCAGTGTTGGACCAGAGGTGGTCAGAGCCAATGACCTCGCAATATTAATGTAACCATATTTTTTACAAATGTTTGGACCATTTTGGTTACTAGTGTTGGTTACTAGGTAGCGTGGTCTTGTACTAGTATTTAACCTAGTCCCACTTTTGCAGGGCTTCACTATGTCGAAAATATTTCAAGGGGAATTTTGAACAAAAATAGTAGATTTTTTTTTAACCAATCTAATGTACATGTGCACATAATATTAACCTTTTGCTGATTTTTTTACATCAATTTTCTTGTTTTTGTTTTTGTTTTTTTTTTTTTTGGGTTTAGTTGGCTGTGTGTAAATTATTTTCTTACACCGCAAGATTCCCAAGAAATATGCATATCACGCGACTTTGTACGAATATATGTATATGTATACTTAAGTTTATACGCATAGATGTGCTTCCGCCTCAATGTTAGCTTAAACACGAAGACGATTTTATTTTCATTGCCTAATTGCGGAAAGTAAATTTTTTTGGCTTGATTAAGCATCTTTTGCACATTTCCTCATACTGCATTGTAGACGACTCTTTTCCTAGCATTTAGAGGAAACATATTGGTTACAAGTATTATCAAAAAAAAATCATCAGATAAAGCCGTGTGCAGTTATTGTGGACCGCCTCCAAATAAGTACCTACATACATAGCTGTTAAGAAAATTAGTTTAATTGCAGCTATTCGACATTGCATCCCTAAATTAAATTATTCACGTTTTCTATGCGCTGTATAATTTCTAAATAGGAAATAATTAGTGTTGCCAGGTTATTGGAGTAGTTTACCGCCAAGGGCATGCCATTTACCCCCCGATTTCCCTTTCGTACCCCTAAATTTATTTATTTGGAATTTATTGTAATTAATCGACTTCACAGAAAGGATAAGGTTATCAATTAGTCGGAATATTTTTTTAATATTTGCATGTTTTTCGTAATACATTTTTTTTCGTTAATTTTAAATTGAAATAGCGAGCATCAAATGCATTCAAATTTGGGAAAATTCGACAAATTTACGAAGTTTACGCGGTTACGAGGCATTTACGCATTTCCATGAATACCCATATAATTATTGTATCTTTCAAAAAATGAAACTAATAATAAGGTATTACATCTTAAAAAAACTAATAGATACTAGTTATATTCTCGCATACAAGTAGGGTTGCCAACCGTACTATAATATATAGTATTGTACTATTTTTTCCGTCTGCGTAATATACTATGAAAAAATACTATATTTCTTTAATTATAAATACGAATATATTTCAGTAATTTGCTGGAAAAAATGTGTATTAAAATGGACTTTTATACTGAGATAACAATATTAAAAGAAAATTCTTTAAAACAAAAGTTCATAGGTCAAAAATTGCAACATTTTTAAGAATACTTAGAATGAATAACCAAATTTACTTAAAATTATTTCGTTTCGGCTCTCTATTCCTGCAACTTCGGCGTTCACAGATAGAGTTTTTTCCATTATGAATGTGAAATGGAGAAAAAAAGCGATTATCTCACTAATAAAAAATTAACTTTTGATTTATATTAATTTAAAAAATTGATTGCGATAAAGCATATGATACTTTCAAAGAATTATATTTTTTATAGAAGAAATGCATAAGAAAGAAAACAGATATACACTTAAAAAGCATTTTTTTTTTTATATTTTTTTTAAAAAGTTTTTTTTTTTTTTTTTTTTTTTGAAAAAATACTATATGTTTTTGAAATGTACTATATTTTTTCCGATTTTTTTGAAAAAGTACTATAGATTTATCTAAAAGTGCTGGCAACCTTACATACAAGCGATGTCGCCGCCCAGATTATAAAATTGAGCTTTTGCGACTTTAATGCCAAATTGCAAATGCAGACATACATATGTATTTATTTGCGCCTGCAGCTGCAAAGTTTAGATGAGGTTAGGTTAGACTGGCGTCCCTAGTTTCCCGCGATGTCACACCGCGACCCAGCGCCCAAACTAGCCTTATTAAGAAGTATTCCGATTTAATAGAGAGGTCAGACGTTCCCTTACAGATTTCGAGTGCTGTTCAGCGCCCTGATGGCCGCCTAACTGTGCGAATATATGCTAACCTCCCCAACGGACGTTATTTTGCAGTGAGTCCACCGCTTCCTTGATGACAGCTATTTCCGCTTGGAAGGCACTGCAGAAGTTCGGCAGCCTGAACATAGTTTTGATGGAGAGTTCCGGACAGAAGACACCTCCACCAACCCTGCCTCTAAGTTTTGATCTGTCCATGAAGAAATTCACCGCACCCTGCCTAGTCCTCTTTTGAGGGAATGTAGGTGGAGAAGGAGCCACTGGGGCCCATTTCTGGGGCGCAGTAATCTATCTAATCAGGGAAGAATTCAAATACTTCCAGAACTCCACGAGTGTCCAGCATCCGAGCCGGTTTCCCTAAGCCTAATAGCAATTCAAAAAATAAAATCTGTTACTACTGTTAAGTGGCTCATGTCTGCAAGCTTTGTCGAAACCATGTCTAATTTTTTGTACTTACTTTAGCAATCATTACTGCTTACTTTAGTAAGGGATGGAAATGGATTCTGGTTCTTGAAGCCCAACTTATATCACCCAAATAGTTGATTCATAAAGGGCTTCAGTTTTTGACACAGTATCGTGGAGAAAAAAAGGAAGGATGGCTTATTAGTTTTGTGGAAGACAGCGCTCATNGACACAGAGAAAAAAAGGAAGGATGGCTTATTAGTTTTGTGGAAGACAGCGCTCATTTAGTATACGGACAGCTGCAAGACTAGCCATGGTGTCGTCGCTGAAGTCTATGGTATCCAACTCAGAAGACTCCTATTCACTAGCATGTGGCAAATTAACTCTGTATTTCAGGCCGAAGTGCATCCCATTGAACTATGTCTGAGGTAGAATATAGAAAGTAGGGCAACCAATGAACTCATCTGTATACACTCTCACAGGTTCCTTAATGACACGTGAATCGAAGAAGAGGGAGTCATGGAAAATCTTCTGGGAAAGCGTGGAAGGGTGTTATTAACCATCCAATGAGGAGTCAATATATCTTCTCCGCAGTAGAAATCTATGTTTAGGCACCTGCCGATGCACCTCCCTCTCCGACCTTCTGGAGGACCGTCACATGGCCTGGGCGATAAATTGGTTAAAACCCTTCAAGTACCCGGGGACCGAGGGTATCATACCTGCGTAGCTCAAAAACGCTGTAAACGTGGTGCAATTGGCTGGCTCCTATTTATACGAACTGCGTGAAGACCGCGTACATCCCCAAGGCTTGGATGGGATGAAACCAACCTAATAAGGCTTATCTAGAGCTTTCTGCGAGACAGAACTGTCGTGGGGGAGTGGGGAAGTGCCTGCACCCAGCGTAGAGTCAATACGGGCACTCCGCAAAGTAGTGTTCTCTCTCCCCTGCTCAGGATTGCTGTTGTAAACGACCCTCTTTAGCAGGAAGTACAAGTAGTAACAGATTTTATTTTTTGAATTTTGAATTGTGTCGTTATTGCACAGGACCATCGATATGTATATTATAACTTATGTATGTACATTAGAATGCCTCACCAAAAAAAAAAAAAATTGCGGTTTTTCCGCCTGGATTACAAAATGTATTATATTTGAAGACTTCCACCAAAATATTTCAGAAAAATATAAGGATTTATGTTGGACGCTACATTACGCTGGACCAATTAGAAGATACCTCCAAAAATGTTGTTTTTTATGAATAAAAATAGTTTCGAATAGTTTTGAAAGAAAAAACTCTCAGACGAGAAAAGAATTTAAGCTTGAAAAATCTTCATAAAAATATTTATTAAATTTTTTACGGAATTTTAATGAGATTTATGATGCTGCTTTTTATAACCTTTTCAAAAATTCTTTAATAACTGGGCTAAAATTATACCGATTTAGACTTTTAAAGAATCAGTGGAAAGATATAAATCGGCGAAGTTTTGGTTGAGTTATTCAAGTTTTTTTTAGACTTACCTTTGAAAAAAGTTCAAAAACAGCATCAAAAATCCGTAGATTTTTTTTTATTTGTATGCAGATTTTTAAAGCTTTTTTGTCATCTGAAATGACACTTTTTTTATACATAAATAAAACTATTTGATTCATAAAAAAATTAAATTTTTTAAGATATTTTTTTTTTGTATGGAGAGTGATGCAGGCTAATGTACATAAACTGCGTTCAATTGCGTTTCATTTTGACTCATTAAAGGTCAATATATGTCTATTAATTTTACAAAATATTCCCTCCCAATAAACTGGTTTATTAAGAAATTAAAACAGAAAAATCATAAAAGACGTTTATATATAATTCTTTTGTTTTTTCTTTTTTGTCCACAGTATTTACTCGATAATTGCACCGAACACGCTGCGACCGAACTCACAATATCATGTTGCTGTGAGTGTACATAAATCCATAGAACCGGTGAAAGTAAAATTGGGCATAATTGGTTCCAGTTATACCGATTTCAAATTCACAGAAGTGCGGCCATACTCAACGCAGTTAGTGGAATTCGAGGTACGTATTTACGTTTAACAACTTTATATAGTCTCTAACAAATTTTTCCTTAAAAAAAAAACAAACTCCAGATACCCGCTCTGAAGCGCGATCGCTACAACCTAACCGCTGAAGGTATCAATGGTGCCATATTCACCAATGAAACACAACTCAACTTCGACACAAAACAATTCACGGTGTTGGTGCAAACCGACAAAGCCATCTATCGACCCGGCGATTTAGTGCATTATCGCGTTGTATTGCTGGACGCCAATCTGAAGCCGGCACGAAATTTCGGTCGCGTTCACTTAACCGTACGTGATGCTGGCGATAATATCATAAAAAGCTATCGGGATATACGCCTAACCAATGCTGTCTATAGCAATGAGCTACAATTGTCCGACTATCCAAAAATGGGCGAATGGTCGGTGAATGTAGAGGTAATGGAGGAGTCGCAGAAAAGCACCTTCGAGGTGGTGGAATACATTTTGCCTAAATTTGTAGTTGATATAGACACGGCGAAGCATGCGATCTACAAAGATGGAAAAATACGTGCAACCGTTAAGGCGAAGTGAGTAATCTTATTGGAGAATTGAGTTTACAGGTTTTGAGAAATATCTACGCGAATCTCGCTTCTTTTTAGCTACGCGTATGGCGAACCCATCAAAGGCGAAGCTACACTCTCTATTTATCCCACCTTCTTCGGTTCGCTGCAGCCGTTCGTGAATGATTTGATTACAAGAAAAGTGGTGCCCATTGATGGGAGTGCCTTTTTCGAATTCGATATACGCGACGAGCTTAAGTTGAAAGAGGATTACGAACGCGAATATTTATTGGACGCATTGGTGGAGGAGAAATCGACTGGTTCGGTGCAGAATTTCTCCACAGTAATAACGGTGCATTTAGATGCCTATCGCGTTGAGACTGTACGTATACCCAGCTATTATATACCAGGTGTGCCGTTCGAGGTGACGGTAAGTAAAGCTACTAAATAGCCTTCACAAAAGCTACACTATATCTGCTATTTATTATTCAAGGCAAAAATTATGCGTAACGACGGTGCTCAATTAAAGGATTTCCCACCCGAGGCGACCGCTTATCTGACCAATGTCTATGGCAGCAGCGAAATGTACAATAAGACCGTTTATGCTATAAGCACAAATGGTGAATTCAAAATGAAATTTACGGTACCGGAAGGTGATAAGGATGAATATCATTCAGTTATCGTAAGTACTTAGAAGAAGGTGAAGTCAATGTGAAATTATTTAGAAGTTGGAAGACTTCTGAGAAGATTTTTCGTTAGTCCAAAAAGGCTTTTATACTATTTTGGTGGCAAAAAATTCTTGGTGGTGCAACACTTATAAAGCGTTGCTATTTTAGTAGTAGCAGAAACTAACCCGAGCTCCCGTCAGTTGTTGCCATCTTCACCATCCTACTTGCAGAGCCTTGGACCTTAGAACTGTACTGCGTCGACAAGGCTTCGAGTATAAGGGTGGTCGAGCTCGATTAGCTTGCAAATGATGGTTGGTGTCGTGTCGTCCCCGTCATCACGCTGGGTTTGTGTTTGTTAGGTCGGGATTTTGGCGCAAAAAGGCAGCTGTTGGGGCATTTGCACCAGCACGACGTTAGTTGAGGCAGGCTGTGTGCGAAGGGCGGCTAAGGTGATCTGTGTAATTTGATTTATTGAAGTTGATATATGCACGGTGGTCCGAGGGAGCAAAGTCGGTGGGCCTATTGTAGATATGAACTAACATTCTAGGGTAGCAACCCTGCTGTCGATGTATTCTTCACTCAATCTTCGTATCGCTCGCGATGCTTAGGGCCGAATTTAATCAGGAAAACTCACCAAAGTGGAGGTTCTATGGAACTTCGATTTTAGATCACAGCTAGCAAATATAAAGACGGCTGTATCCTTGATCTTGCGCTGAATTCCGTTACAGTTAAACTGTAATTTTGTATACCATAGAAGTTAGGTGGCTATTCAATGGGTTAAGGATATGTGGGGTACTACCCTAATTCTGTTGCGCTTTCGACCTTACGTATTGCAGCCTAGTGGTAGTGGCTGAAAGGCGATGAATGCCACCTCAGCAGCAGGGTAGCATGGTAGTCTCAAGTCCGCGACCACGACTGCTTCGTAAACCACAACATAGCCGAAAGTGGTAGCAGTCAAACCACGAGTTGCGATTGACTGATGTCAAGGTTCGATAGATAGAGACATATGGAGCAGGCTGGTTTAGGAATCAAAGACCGTTACCTGGAGTTGGAGGAGAAGGAAGGTAGAGGAAGAAAAGAGAACGGATAAGGGGAAGAAAGGCGGGGAGGGAAGAAAGGTGGCGGTAGTTGCGTTGTTGCTCATTTGAGCTCTATGGAACCCAGGAGACACTTGCGTTACGCGAGTGGAATGCCGTAAAGGCCGCGAAGCCGAAGGTTTCCATATGGTGTGAGTAACAAGAGAATAATCGCCTCTCCTCCTCCTCCTAATGTGACCAAAAGCCAGAACAGGTTCTTAGGTGGTTCCATCCATTACAAGAGTTGCACCGAACCCAACTGGCTTTCGGTTGGAGCCGTATCCGGCATACGCAGTTGAAGTATCGATGATAATTTTTGAGAACTCGGATATTTAAAAAATATTATTTACGTTTGCATGAGATTGCAAGAAATCTATGAAGATACAAAAATCCAAAGGACCTCTCTGCCATTAAATGGACTTTTAAATGTTATACTACCTAAACCTGATTAAAAAAATTTTCAAAATTTACTAAATTCGCCTTTTTCAGGTAAACTATATTGGCATTATTACGGATGTGGGCAAAATACCGCGTAAACATTTACACAGTAAAAACTACATTACAGCAAAAATATTAAATGATAAGTAAGTAATGACAAAAAAAAATAAAAATCAATCAATTTCAAATTAAGCTTATTTAGAGTTTAATCTTTGACTTTGCACTTAATGCGGTTAACAAAAGCGAAGAAACTTCTCCACCAAGCATAATTCTCTTCCGTTTATTTATTTATTTTTTTCGGTACACTTACTGTGGCAGTACGCTCCAACGAACCAATGAAATACTTTATTTATCAGATCGTAGGGCGTGGCGATATTATTACAACACATGCTGTTCAAGTAAGAGTTGATTTTATGCAAAATTTATTACAACAAATTATAAATTTACAAAAAAAAACTATCGCCAGGTGGAAAACAGCAACTATCACACTTTTAAATTCCTGGCCACATTTGCAATGATGCCGCGCGCAAAACTGCTACTCTATATGGTAGTGAATGGCGAGTTTGTCTACGATGAGCAGGTCATCGAATTCGAGCATACGTTAATAAATAATGTGAGTAAAGTTTTTGATATGCTCCAAATTCTCTCAAACTCTTGGATTTACTATTTTCGATTTTATTTTTTGCAGGTGCAAGTTGAGGCGCCACTCAAGGCACCGCCAGGTCAGGATATCGACATAACAATTACGACCAAGCCATACTCGTATGTGGGGCTCATGTTGGTAGATCAAAACGCTGCAAACATACGGAAAGGTATGACCTAAATTCATTCTAATTTCATTGTAAATACATATACCCATTTCAGGTAACGATCTCAGCTATGAGGGACTAATGGACGCTTTGAAAACTTACGAGCTGCGCGATATTAATACGCAACTCGGTTCACCCGGTAAAGAATCTGGCGTTATAACAATGTCGAATGCAGATTTTATAATAGAAAAGGGTAACTTATATTTTCCAACTTAAAATTTCTCAAAATTTGTGTAATAATTTTATCGATCTTAATTCTCAGAACCTGAAACTACACCCAATTTGCTGCGCGACTACGACGATGACGAAAACAAATTGACAACCATACGTAAAACAGATATAGGTCCGGCGCATCACTTCGAGGTGAATACACTGGCGCCGGGTAAAGGGCGTTACGCTTTCTCGTACACACCTAAACCCTATTGGCATAATCCACGCATTCATTTAATGCATGAACCGGCTGATACTTGGCTCTTCCTGAACATTTCGGCCGGTAATGAGGGGCGTACTACGCTACATCGTCGCATACCCAGCTCAATGACTTCATGGGTGCTGTCCGCTTTTTCTTTAGATCCAATAACTGGTTTGGGTTTGACAAAACCAACGAAAACATTGCAGTCTTACAAGGAGTTTTACATTAGCACCGAAGTGCCATATTCGATTAGAAAAGGTAAGGTGGATAGAAAACTTATTTAGATAATAAGTATGTACTTACATAAATACATATTTCAAAAATGTGTTGAAGAAAAGGTGATAATTAAGATGTATCAATGGAATGTGTGTGTGCCTCACATCAATGTTTATAGAGTTCGACTGTAACAACAATGTTGTGCAACATTTGTAAGTGTAAAATGTTTCCACAAACCTTTTTTGTGTATGTAAGCAGCCTAGCCTCTTTATGGGGAAGGTGAACCTCCTAGACACTTTTGAGCCATGTCTATGATCTCAAGGACGACACCTAGGACTTGACCGGACGCTGTACACACAGGCAACCAACGGCATTTGCCGAGAACACCTCACCGCCCTCAGCAACTCTCGCCTCTTGAAGTCGTAGAGTTCAATCATCGCCATTACAGAGGTAGAGCTTCAGCTGCCTCAAGTTAAACTGCAACTTATCCGGATTCGAGCCCGATGCACCCAAAATTTATGCGCTGTACGTGGAGATTTTCCGACCCTATCGAAATATTACGTTTCATGATTCTATCATTACTGGAGCTTCAGTTCAGCTTGACAGCAATAAATGAAAGATTAGATAGATCTAGGCAGGGCTTAGTGTACACTACTATGTGTAAAAAAAATGTTTTAGACCAGATTTTTAAACTCTTAACTACTATCAATTTACTCTTAAAATCGTACTCACAGTTTTGTATCCCCCCAAATTATATTACAGGTGAAACTATCGCGCTGCCATTTGTGATTACTAATAATAAGGATAGTGATTTGGATGTTGAAGTGACCTTTTACAACACGGCACAAGAATTTGAATTTCCACCACTCGACAGCAAGGGCGATCCTACACCAAGTAAGTAACGTTCTTTGATAATTGCCATTACAAATCTTGATAACATACTTTTCTTCACCCCACATTCATCTTAGAAATCGAATTGTACAGTCGTCGCACAGTACGCGTGCTGGCACAAACTGTAAAAACGTTATCCTTTATTGTGAAGCCCAAACGTGTCGGACCCATAAACATTAAGGCTGTGGCCAATTCGCAACTGACTGGTGATACCGTAGAAACCATACTGCTGGTCGAATATCCAGGCGCTACAGAGACAATCAATCATGGTTTTCTATTCGAGCTCAGTTCAAGTCCACAAACCAAAACGAATATATCCATCAATGTACCACGCAATGCAATTGCTGGCTCAACAAAGATACAAGTGACAGCAGTGGGTGATGTAATAGGTAGCTTATTGGGTAATATTGAGCATTTAATAGTTTTGCCAACGGGCTGTGGTGAACAGACAATGGTGCATTTTATGCCAAACTTATTGGTGCTGCGTTATCTGGAGGTGAGGGTAGTGAGACTCATCATATGCATAAAAATTATTAATTTCAATTACCATAGCGCCTACGCCAATTGACACCCGCGACTGAGATGCGCATCAAGCGCAATTTGGAAGTTGGCTATCAACATTTGCTGTACTATCGTCATATGAATGGTGCTTTCAGCGCATTCGGTTTAGAGGAGAAGAGTCGGTTCTACTTGGTTGACGGCTTATGTTGCGCGTGCGCTACGTCAAGCTACACCTTATATTTACATATGATGAGGCAATTGTGAGTAAGGCTTTGGAATATTTAGCCGGCACACAGAGTGTTGGTGGCGGTTTTGAAGAGCGAGGTGATGTTTTCGAGGCGTTCAATGATGATGGGCTGAGTTTGACGGCGTTTGTGACATTGGCCTTTATGGAGAATGCGGTGAGTTGAAACATTTTTATTGCAAATCTGCAAAGAAGTTTGATCACCTGGCATGGAACTGGATTAACTAAACAATAAAATTTAGTGTAGTAAAAATAAAATCAGGTCAAATGGAATTTAAAAAAAAAATGAATGAATGAAGTTAATTACATGCAGAATATACAATTAGGAAATTTTTCGAATATACATTTAGAGAAATATTTATATTCTATTTATACATACTTACTTCCCAACAGAAAGCCCATCCTGAGTATAAGAACGTCATCAACAAAGCCCTAGATTTCATAACACGCGGCTTGGACAGTTCGAGCGATTTGCATGCCACAGCTATTGGCACCTATGTGCTATCACGCGCCAATCACAACTCCAAAAGCGCCTTCTCTGCAGCGACTCGATGCTATGGCGGTCAATGAAGGTTTGCATATAAACGTAAACTCTCAAAACAGCACCTCCTCTTATGCTCACTAAACATTTTCAGATGGTCAAAAGTGGTGGAATAAGACAGCGCCTACGGCCGAGGGCCCTCACCTTGGTACAATCGCACACGTTCGGTGAATATTGAGATATCCTCATATGCTGCACTCGCCTGCTCGAAAACAATCTCATCGGCGATGCGTTGCCAGTACTCAAGTGGCTGGCTGATCAACGTAATAACTTCGGTGGTTTTGTCTCATCGCAGGATACCGTAGTGGGCATACAAGCGCTGATGGCCTTCGCTGAACGCTTTTCAAGTCAAGCGAATAATGTCAGGTCAACGTGCAATATGGACAGGGTGCAGAAACGATACTGAATGTGAATGGACAGAATTCGCTGGCGCTGCAAAGTTATGAAGTGAGTTGGTATTAAATTTGAAGTTAATATTTTTCTTGTTTAAATGCAATTTTGCACTTACCTAGCTGCCGAATATGTTGAAAAATCTTACGATATCTGCTACCGGTCGTGGCATGGCTTTTGCGCAACTCAGCTACAGTTACAACACAAATGTGACAAGCGCATGGCCGAGATTTGTGCTCGATCCTACGGTGAATCGCAACTCGCATTCGGATTACTTGCATTTATCGGCGTGTGCTAGGTGCGTAACGGCATGTTGCCCCCCGATTTCAGTGAATTGTATTTAATCTTATTGAATTTCTCTTCCATGAAATAGCTTCGTGCCTGTGGAGGGTGATGCCAGTCGCTCAAATATGGCTGTTATGGAAATTTATTTGCCCAGCGGATTTCGTTGTAGACACAGAAACACTGCCCACACTAGAATCTAGCGAAAGAATTAAGGTAGTAACTGTGGGAAAAATGTTAAACACTGAAATTGCATGTTTTCTTTTTACCTCTTCCTCAGCGTGTCGAGACGCAGCGTCGCAACACTGTGGTCATTATTTACTTCGACTATTTAGATAGGCGCGAAGTTTGTCCGACGCTACATGCTTACAAAACAGTGAAGGTCACCGGTCACCAACTGGTCCAGTGGTCATGTACGACTACTACGATAATGGTAGTCCAAGCGCAGCATATAAATAGCAATAAATGTGTAACTAAATTAATTTTAATAAAAAAAATCCTTCATTTATAGCACGTCGCGCGCGTCAATTCTATCGTGCACCCAAATCCGTGGTATGCGACATATGCGAGCATGCCAACTGCGGCACGCTTTGTGAAAAGGCTGAGAAGCGCGAATCACGACGGTTGGATGGTGGTGATAGCAGCATCGAAGGCAGATCAGGCGGGGCAAAAGCGCGCGTTTCAGCCTTTGTCATCGCTTTACTAGGCCTGTCGGCAGTGACCGCCACTTTTAAGTATACGTTATAGATTTGCAAAGCATACATGTTTTGCAAACAACAAATTTAAACAAAAAGCTTTAACCATTTTAAAGTAACCACTAGTGATACTAAACAGTTCAACGAACGCGTGCCCCAATACATTAAATATTATTTACATTCGTTTATGTGCATACATATACATATATGTCCTGTAATTATGCCGTTTTTTTTTAATAACGCTAAACCATTGTATGCGGTGCTGTGCAAATTGCATGCATTTGTAAAAAAAATATTGTATTTAACAGTAAAAAACAAGCACTTATGTACATTTAGTTGTAATTTATTTTGACAAACTTGCTTGTATTGTATATATGTATATGAAATGCAAATGAAATTGGTTCATTATAACATTTAAAAAGTTGTATATGCAACCATAATATATGTATGTATGTATAATTGGAAATTGTTAACTAAATATGTACTTAGTAAGTTAAGCGCTAAATTACTATATATTGTAAAATAATTTATAAAACGCTCTTAATATGCTACCATATTTTTCCTACCCTCCTCCGTCCTAACGATGCACAAATAAACTTTCTAACAATACTAAACTTAATCAAATTTTAACTTGCATTTAATCGTTGCGACAGTCAGCGCATCGTGTCGGACTCTGAGTAAGTAATTTATGTTTTTCGTTTCGGCTTCTTACTCTCCATGAGGCTCATAATAGTTTTGCGTAACTCTTCTGTTTCACTCAACTCCAACTCGTAACTGCGTATTTGTTCATTTTTGTCCTGAATTTGCGCCTCCAATACTGAGATGACATCGTCACATTTCTTCTTCGCCTCCTTCTGCTCTTCGTAGAGTTTATGCATTTTAGTCAGCTCTCGCTCACGCTCTTCAATGATGCGTGACTTTTCTTTTATATCGAGTTCGAAAGCAGCAATCGACTTTTTCAACTTTTCTATGCGGGTGACCTATGGCAAGGAAGATAAAAATTAAGCCTTTATAGAATATAGGGCGTAATATAGTTACATTTTCCTTGGCGTTGGCTTGCATTTTTTCCAATTCCTTGGTTTTTGAAGTCAGTTCCTCTTTAAGTTCTCCATTTTCCTTTTGTAAAACTAGAAAAACATAAATGATAACAGAGCTTTAGTAATTTGGTTAAACCAAAGGACGTTGAGTTAAATTATGGTAGTGATGTTGTAATGAAATGTTAGATTTTCAACCAATATTTTGGTTAGGTTTGCTTATTTAAAGTCCAAACAGATGCACAAATTTCAAATTGAATAAAATTTTAGTATATCTTATACGATTTTATAGACCAATAGACTCTAAACCCAACATTCCGAAAATATTTCGCACATCATCCTTAAAAGAGGCACACCCAAAAAAAAAATAATAATAATAATTTAAGTTTTTCGCATAAATCAATTCGTAGGATTGACCTCCAAGTAATACAACTACTTTTTCGTGATTGTATTATCTAACTAGAAAACAACTGTTATACTTATTTTTGTATTATATAATTGTGTGGTAACTGTACGATCCGCATGCAAAACATATTTATAGATCTGATTATGAGTTGTGGCTCTTTTTAAGAGGGTGCCCTATTTATTGCTTATTACACATGAAGTGTGATGCTTTATCTGGAAATATAATTTATTACCTATTACTTCCGACACTTTGACAGTCAAACGCTTTTCACTTATTTGCAATGATTCTGACTGCTCAGACAACTTCTTCATTAAACTTGCCAAATTATGTTTCAAATTATCCTTTTGCTGTTTTAAATCTTGGCACTGTGTTTGCAGACTATAAATAAATGCAAGATGGAATAAAGATATAAAAATGTTTAGATACTGCATTTTCAAGTCTCTGCTAATTTTCGCTCACCCCTCTTGATTGACATGCAGCTCAAAATTCATCATTTCGTATTTTTGTAACTCAGCATTTTGTAAATTGATGCGTTGTGTTAGATTTGTTATCTGAAAAAGAATTTTCCTATACAAAACGAGCCACTACACAAATATTAAAGCTTTCATTTACCTCTTGGCTGGCGATCTCCAGCCGCCTTTGCATGCAACTTTCCGCGCAACTAAAAATTTCACTCTTATAATTGAATAATTCAATAATCTGCGACATGGCTACATTTTGTATTTGATTATTACGATGTGCATTACTGATCACATCAATTAAAGCATTAAGTCGCTCCTCCATCTCTTTGCCAACAAATGTTTTATGACTTTTCATTATAATATTTAGCTTTTGCAACTGATCACCATCAACACTGGGTGCAGCAGAGCTACCCACTCCCTTATATGGCGTTAATTTTGAGATATGCTATGTACAAAAAGTTAACATTGTAAATTAAATTACTAATAAACAGCATTTGAACACTTACATTCGCCACTTCACTTTGTGGAAATCGTTCAAATTGAGATATTTGAAAAACAGCACCACAAACTGTCTGATTGCCACCAACCATAGCGCGCGCCAACACATTTTGTATTGTAGTGAATTGCAATAGAGTACAACATTTCTCAAAATATGCTTTTTTGGCAATACCAGCGAAATTGATTAGCAGCAACAGGCAGTATGTATATTTTTCGATTTCTTCTGGTACAACAGCATTAAGTGGCATATCTGTGCGCCCAGTATTTAGTAGTGGTGCAAACATTTTGTCGAAATATGATTCTGTAATACGTGAAAGAATGAGTTTCTCAGTCTTTGTTTGATGCAATAATGATGCCAGGAGCTGTAAGATGGCAGATATATGGCGGGCACTTGTATCCGGTTTCTCTGATATAGCAATCAGTTGCACGATGTACGAGGGATCACGGGCAATGCGAGCAGGTATTGATTCTTTGGGAACTGCAAGTACAACTCATAATTAATAAAAAGGTTTAAAATTTACTACAGCGATACATACCCAATGTTATTAAGCCATTTAACAATTCTACAGCGTTAACTCCGCAAACTTCAGAATCCAGCCACTTGCCTAAAAATTCAAATATTCGCGGCACATTTGAATCCAAACTAATAACATTTTCTTTATTCTCAGATCCTGGCACAGTACTTAATTGCAGTACATAAAGTATCAGTCGGAAAAGTAAGCCCAAGCAAGTGTGCTGTTGCTTCGATATTTGCTCATCTACATCCTCAGCGATGCCACATGACTCCAGACACTGCAAAGTTAAAATTCCGACAATAATTTAATGCAATAATATTTAATAACTAGCATTCGGTTATGCAACTATCTACATACGTTGAGTAGCCGCTCCACATCTTCGCAGTAATTTTTATAATCCAGCATAGTGCGATGCAGACACGTATGTGCCTTAGAGTCCACAAAGAAATCTATTATATGCTGCAAATAAGGCACGTTCCAATTTTTAATGCATTCCTCTATTGTAGCAAATGTTGAACGTATGAATAAATCTAAATCCCTCTGGTTCGGCGTATGAGTATCTTCACTCAGTATAATTAACATCTTACTCGCCAACATGCCATAGCTTTGAATGCGTTTTGTAAAATTCGATATATTCACCGAACGTAAAAAGAGAAACATTACTACGAAATTTTTATAACATAAATTGATTAGCACAGATAGTGCCAACTGCGCCAATCCGTCCTCACTTTCCTCTGCCGCTTGATATATGATATTGACCAGCTGCTCTAGTAGCACTATTAAATATGGTTCTTCCCAACTTATTTGTATACCATAAGTTAGATCCTGCATAAGTGTTAGCAGCTTTTGTACTTTCTCCTGTCCATGCGAACGCTTAAGCACAAAGGCTAGAAGCGGTACAAAACGAAAATCCTCTACCAATGCGCGACGTGCTGTCAGATTACGACTTAGATGTTGCAAAAGTGCAACGCAAGCCCAAAGTGCATCGGAATCAGTAGCCAAAGTACCCATAACAGCATGCAAGTCTATGAAAAGTTTGGAGGTCTCCAGCTGTGCAGGATTAAATAGCTGTGGCTGCACAGTTGTGCTAAGCAGTGATGCACTACGATTTAGTAGCGCCAATGATTCAATAGTTTGCTGGTTGCGATGATTTGTTGCATGCATACAAAAATCGCGTACATAGCTGAAGGCTTGCTGGGCCGCAGAATCGTTGACAGGATCGCCAATTGTTGTCAAGCCGCCTACAGTGACGCTGCCGNAAAAAAAAAATATTCAAATCACAAAACAAATCTCAAACGAAGTGAAAAATATCCGCCAAGTAGTCAAGACAAATGTCACAAATCGTGGAACTTAGGATCACTGGGTGCCCACAATGACTGAAAACTGATACAGCATTGTACAAATGAAAAAAATAGTTTTCCGTTCGTACTGTACTTTTTCCGTTGTAGAAAAAACTAACCCAGCCGATGTTAGCACTTCTGCAGTATAAATATTAAAATTTTTGTATTGTAATCGATAGTTTGTCGATTGTTCTTTACTGTTCGTCCACTTTTATCGTTTGTTCGTTAGCCACACATTTATAATTAATTTTTAAATTTTTTACTTTACGTTATTCCTGCAACTGGCTCCTCCTACAGATTATTTTGGTTTGGAAATGCGTTTTAAACATATACGTATTGTGTATTTTGTGTATGATATTTGTAGAAAATAATATACTTAATAAAAATATACCTATGACAAAAAATGGGCTTTAACCAAAACATGCCTTATTAATATAGTCCAAATATATATATCTTCTAATATGTATATTTGATTTTCTTTTATTAGATGCATCATATGACTACTTTATCTTTGTATTTTACTGTATATTTTTGCTTTTTATTTTATTTATTATTTATTTTAAGTAATTTTCTGTGATTTGCGATCTTATTCTCGCGAGTCTATTCCACAATTTGGCGTATTGTGTATACCTGATAAGGCACAATCTGTTCTTTGGTGGGCTTCAATCTTTCACAGAATACGCGCGCTAAGACCTTGTAACCTTTGGTTAGAAGGCTGATCCCGCGGTAGTTGGCATGAATGGCGGGGTCGCCTTTCTTCTGGATTGGGCAGAGCACACTTAAATTCCAGTCGTCGGGCATGCGTTCATCTGACCCTATTCTGCATAAGATTTGATGCATGCACTTTATCAGCTCTTCTCTGCCGTACTTGAATAGCTCAGTTAGCAAGCCGTCAGCTCCAGCAGCTTTGTGGCGGTGAAACATCGACTTCATCGTCATCATCTGGGGGCTCGGGTTCGTCTTCTCCGCTACTTTCAGATTTCTGCCGCCCAATAGGGTGAACAAGTGTTCCCTACATAATTTAAATACCTTATGGACATCGGTAACTAGGTCGGCCTGGTGGTTCTTCAGGAGTTCGCCCTGGTCTTGAAATCTTACGTAAGTCTCCTAACTTTCTGATAAAATTTTTTGGTGTTTTCCCTGTGGCCAGCATCTAAGGCCCTTCACACTCACATATTTTGGCCTCTGTTTTGTTGCAGCAAATACGCCTCGCGTCCCTCTTCAGTTCCCTATAACGAACCCACATAGCTGGTGTTGCACCCGATTGCAGCGTTGCCCTCTAGACGGTATATTTTTTCTTTACATCTTCTTCGTACCAGTTGTTCTTTCCTGCTCGCTGAAATTCGACTAATTCTTCGGCAGCGGTACTTAATGAGCGGGGAATGTGGTTCCATTGCGCGCGCGTCTGGCGTCCCTAAATTGGAGCGCTAAGCGTTGCGTTTTCCAATGCCCACGAGTCCCAACGCGCGCTATACCTAAATCAACGCAGCGTAACTTTCTATGTTTTTATTCTTGCTTCCTCTTTCAGTTTTTGTCCTCTCCCTTTCTTTCCGTCTTTTGCGTACAACTTCAATACGCAACGCCCTGTAAAAAATTAAAATTCCATTTGCTCGGCGCTAGCGCCGCGTCTATCGCATTTCTTGGATGGCGGTGATGTCAGCCATTGTCTTCTCGGGGACATTGTCCAGCCGGCCAGAGGTATCTACCTTTCTCATTAAGGGTCCGGATATTTCAGGTGCATACCCTCAAACCATCAGAAGAGGGGGTCTCAACCGAGGCATGACTTTCTTTTTTATTGGACACTTTTGGTTTTACGCCTTTTCACTTTAGCTCGCTCCTAGAGGATACATAGATATAAATCTCTGGACGTCGTGAGCTGCGAATTGAACCGTACGTTTTTCCGGCCACTTCCAACGTCAGCCAAAGGCTTATCCCACTTACGTGGACTTCTGCGCACAGAACCATCCTCCACGAATACAAATACGAACCCGAATATCAATAAGAGCAAAACCGAATACGCAAACGAAGGCGAAGACGACCGTGAAGAAATACGAGTACGAAGACTAATACGAAAACGAATAGGCAGAAGAATATTAAGAAATGGTCGAATAGGAAAACGAATACAAAGTCGAAGATGAAGATGAAGATGAAGACGGATACGAGGTCAAATAAGATGGCTAATACGAAAGCGATTTCGAAGAAGAAGTCGAATACGAGTTCAAACGAATACGAACTCGAATAAGAAGCCGAAAATGAATTCGAATGCGAATACGAAGACGGGCACGAGTCAAATATAAAGGCTAATACGAAAGCGATTACGAATACGAGGAAGAAGTCGAATACGAAGATGAATACGAACTCGAATAAGAAGCCGAAAATGAAGTGGAATGAGAGTATGAAAACCAATACGAAATCGGATTTAAATACGAAGCAGAAGTCGAAGACGAATACGAAGAATACAAAGTCGAATACGGAGAAGAATATGAAGTCGAATGGGAAGGCGAATACGAGACGAAGTCGATTACGAAGACGAATGCGAAGTAGAACGCGAAGTGAAATGCGAAGACAAAGAATACAAAGTCAAATACGAAGACTAATATGAAGACGAATGCGAGGCGAAGTCGATTACGAAGACGAGTGCAAAGTAGAAAGCGAAGTGAAATGCGAAGACGTACGCGAAGACGAAAAATAAGCTAATATTAAATAAGAGTGCTTAACACAAAATTTCTGCTACTCTTCCGTCGTGGGGAGATTCAAAAAGCTTTATGAAGTAAGATTTTCGAAGGTCTTAGAAAGTAAGAAGAGTATCGGTTTTCTCCTGGAAATTAAATGTATAATCTTATAACTCGATTCGACATATCGCGCACTTTCTTCAAAGGTGTACTAATTCAATATTTACCTGGTCTTAAAGATTTTCACAGCAAACTTTCTTAAACTTAGTTATTTAATATTTCATTGTTTATTGTAATATTTCATCAATTTGAATGAATAAAATTTTTCAAACAGGTGGCAATCCCCTCAAAAATATTTTCGGCAGTAAACGTTCTTAAAGCTTGTTAGTTTGATACCCATATTGCAATATTTCATTTATCTTATCAATTAAATTGAATTAAAATTTTCAAACACAAAGATATTTTCAGCTGTAAGCTTTCTTATTACTGGTTTCACCAGCAATTTAAATGGAAAATGATTTTTTATTTTCTGTCTATTTCCATATAAATTTCAAAAAATTAAAATCATTTTTCACTTAAATTACTTTCGTGAAATTGGCTGTTAAACCTCTTTCTCTCGACAGCCATATTGCAATATTTCATTTATCTTATCAATTTACTAATATTGCAATATTCAAACAGGTGGTAACCTCGAGCAATACCTCGGTGAAGACCTCCCTTATAAATTTTCTTTAAAATCTCTAATGTACAAACTTCGGCCTATTATAATTTTATTATTTTTCGAATAACAGAAATATGTACGTACATATGTACATACTTCAAAAAATTTTTAATTAAAATGCGACCCAATAGCAGACAATGACCCAGTTTAACAGTTTTTTTTTTTTTTTAATAAAAAGTAAAGAAAACTGCGTGTCTCAGTGCCTCAATTGAAAGTGAACTAAATCTTAAACAAAAAGAAAAATGAAAAATCAACACGTGTTTTGTTCGTTTAAATTTACTTGCAAATATCAACGTGAACACAAATTATCTCAATTGAGTTTTTTAAGGTGGCTCTGCCTCCTAATCGCTGCTACTAAATTTCACTTAACTAAAGTAAAGCGGAGCACAAAGAAAGGAAAAAAAGCAAATTGAAAGAAAAAGGAAATGCTCGTAATTTAACTAATGCGACGTCATCGTCTACTTGTTGCTATTTGTGATATATGCACATACATACATATATACATATGGTTTGTATGTATACATATATGACGCTATGATGATCACAAATAGCGCCTGCTAACTCATACAACCGCACCGCCATTCATGCGGCGAGCGATCTTGTGGGAGCGTTGTAAATTTCATGATTACTATTTAAAAAAAATTGGACGCTAAAAAAACACCCAAACAAATGGACGGACAGACGTTTGGGAAAGATACGCAGATTTGCTGTTAATTTGACTGACGTTGACTAAAAATTGCATGCTCGCCACGCTTTTGTCGCAGTTGTCGACGGACGGCGAACGTGTAATGAACTCGTGGAATCGTAAATTGCGCAATGCAACTGAAAAATACAGCGATTAAGGTTAAAAATAATACAAGCTAGTAAAGAGCACATTGAATTGTGAAAAGTGTCGAATCCTGCCGTGGATCCTTCCGCAATATTTTTGAAAGGATAATGAAAAATTAATTATAAAGTGGTATTTTCGTACAAACACGATTTGGTTACTCATACGCACTGTCGCGCTGTTGCCGTTAGAGAAGCTGTGATATTTCAAATAAGTTTTTGTAGATTTTTTCGAAAACCGAAATAAGTACAAAGAGCAGCCAGCAAAAAATAATAGCTTAGTATGCAGTTTTGAATTTGTGGCATTAATAAACCAATTTGTAGAAATAAATACACTGCCAAAGGCAAAAAATGTAACTTCCAACTTAAAACAAATAAAATAAAAATCAAAATTGAAATATTTTAAACTCGCTACGCTACTCCGTATTAATTGAAATTCGATCCAAAGTAAATTGGAAAAAAATATTTTTGTTGCGTTTATAAAAAAAAAACTTTGTCTCGCGCCCACTAAATGTTTAGCCGCAGTAATTCACATCCTGGCAATGGATCCGCCGCTGACGCATACACACATGCATTTGCCAATGCTACGCCAGTTAAATCTCCAGCGGCCGATAGGAAAACTCCAGAGCGCGATGCTAATCGTGGCCATTGGGGCTCGAAAACGGAATTTATGTTATCCTGCATAGGCTATGCTGTAGGCATTGGCAACGTGTGGCGTTTTCCATATTTGTGCTATCGCAGTGGAGGAGGTGAGTGTGTGCGGGGATAAATGGAAATAAAAAATAAAAATAAAAAATAAATATAATGATAAAATAACATAAAATTGAGTGTTTTATTTAAATTCGGCCTCGAGGCCATCAAAGTTTAACAAAATAAATTAAAGTAAATCAATATAAAAAAAAAAAACGAAAAAATAAAAAACTAAAAACTAAAAGTCTCCAAAAGGAGGTTTTATTTACAAGTTCAAAAGAGTGCACGAATGTATAGTGACGAGCAAAAGAGAATTTTACCCAATGTGTGCAAAGCTTTTTATTTTAGTTTTTTCGCAAATTTCTTATAAAAAATATAGTTCATACTACAACAAAAACATTAAAATAAATTTTCCAAACTTTGTGCTAAACTCAGGAGAATTCAATAAATTTGCATAAAAATTTGCAACTTTCTAATAAGATCTAGGTACTCAGTATTATTTCAGTATAAAAAAGTGCCAGTTTGGAGTTGCTAAAAATTGCATTTATTTTTGGATTTTTTTTTGGCAGACGGTGTTACTTTTTCATTCCATATAAAAAAATAAAAATTGTTGAACATACATACATACTTTGTATGGAAGGAAGTCCGTGGGAAAAAGTGCTAAAAATCAATTCAAAAAACCAATAGTCGAACTAGTGATAATTAAATCGGTTGCTTCGTGATAAAAAAATGGTATATGTAGTAACTTAATCGTAATGGTAATAGTGATGGTAATGGTAATGGTGATGGTAATGGTAAAGGTAATAGGTAATGGTAATTGTAATAGGCAATAATGGTAATGGTATCTGTCTTCGTATTCGTGTTCGTCAAAGTCTTCGCCTCCGCATTCGTCTTCGGGTTCGCCTGCGTCTTCGTGTTCGGCTTTGCATTATTTTCTGCATTGGTCTTCGTCGTCGGGTTCTTCCTCGTGTTCGTATTTGTCTTCGCGTTCGTTTTCCTATTCTTTCGTCGTATTCGTTTTCGTGTTCAACCTCGCCTTCGTCTTTGTCCTCTTCTTTCGGTTCGTCTTCGTAATCATCTTGGGGTTTATCTTCGGCTGTTCGTCTTCACCTCAGCATTTCTCTTCGTGCTCGTCTTAAACTTCTACACAATATATTTTTTTACTATAAAAAAAAACTTAAATGCAGAAAATGAAATTTATTTATATTTAAAAAATCTAATTTAATTTTATTGAGCTTGACGCCGTTTTTTTATTGAAAACTATTGTGGAATAATGAACAATAATTTATAAATGGTAGAACTGATAGCTATTTATTTCGGATATCACCACATCTCCGCATCAGACTTCTTCAGCGGGATTCGAACCGACGACCCCAGCTGACTCAGCCGGTCACTGTGCTAAGTTCGCCTTATAAACTGTTGTTGGCCAACTACAATCAAGCGCAGCTATTCCGCTGCAATTCACACTTGATCATGTGGTTGTTGTTAAATTATTGACCGTATCCGCGTCCGCATAATTGCGCAATGATTAATAAATTTCGTTATTTTTCGGAAAATTGGCGAAAAATGCATATCAGTTCTTCGAATTCATGAATTTTCAAAATTTTCTCATTACTTAATATTCAACTTTTAATTGCAATTTTTTGTTGTATTTTCGAATTTGTACTATTTTGAATATTTTCGCAGGTTTAGAAAATAACAAAAATCCAAAATTTTGAATTTTATGAAATTATTAAATTTCTTGAGTTTTTTTATTTTTAGGATAATTTACAAAATTTCAAAGACTATCGAAATCTGGGAGGTTCAAGAAATTTTGGTAAAATGAGAATATTTTGAAATGTGCAAAAATTACTGAGATTTTAGAAATTTTTATATTATCCAAAATTTTGAGAATTTTATTCCTTCTGAAATCTATCGTAAAATGTAAAAATGTGAAACATCACAAATTTTCGAAAAATTCTAATGTTGATTGTACTTGTGTATAAAACCTAGAAAATTCTTAGAATTCTAAAATATATTAAAATTTTTGAAAAATTCCAAAAAATTTACACTTTTCTGAACATTTATTTTGTGCGCTTTGTCTACTTCAGTACATACTATTTCAGTATGTTATTCGCGATATATGTTGAAAAAATATTTCCCACCGGCCCCCCCAAGAATTGCTGCTGGGTCCGCCCCTGATCTTCTGAATTAGAGATCATCCAAATTATTTAGACAACAATAACTATTAAAAATGTCTTCTCATGCGGAGATACTGAAATTTTTTGATTAGTACTACTTTTTTACAGTAAAATTACTTCAATTGTTTAATGGTTTAGCCTGTTCACCCTGCATCCACACACCTCTACATTATCACACCCACACATTCGCTGGTTCGCACATGCTTCAAGTATGCAAATTTTGTGTCGCACCATAATTGGTGCAATGTTTTTTATTTGCTTCTTCCTTTTACCGTAACAATTGCTATGAATTCAAACTTTTTTATTAGTTTATTTTGTTATTGGGGTGATCCAAAAATGCATGAGAAAAAGTAAAGTCAGAATTTTTATGCTCTCACCTCCTGGACTGTTCTACGCATGATAAAAACATAACAAGGTAAAACCATTGAGAGGCAGTCTGACGTTTGCCAACAATATAATTTTAAAATCCAAACTCAAACTCACACACACATTCTCATTTTCAATCTCAAACAACAACAATTGTGAACAATTTAATTTTTTTATTTTCAATTTTATATGATTTTAAGATGTTGGCAAACGTCAGAACAAAATCATGGCCGACGAATTGAGAGAATGAATTTACCTTGTAATGTTTTTATCATGGTTCTACGCCGGAAAAATTATACCCCAAATTTTTTATTTTGAAATCAGAAAATATCTAGAGGTCGTTCAAAGAGCACAAAGTTTTCCATGTATTTTGTATGGGGGGAAAAACAATTTTTCGTAGAAATGGTATGCCCAGAATTCTTAAGGATAATTATTTTTCGATCGGAAAAGTTTGCTTCTCTGCAGGAGATTCCCTATAACAATACGCAATTGTTTATTTAACCATTTTTTCATAGTAACTATAATTTATAGGTCCGCCTAAAACCCCCAAAAATGCAATGGGGGCACCAATAAAAAATCGTTAGTATTAAAAAATGGTCAAATAACCAATTGGATATCATTATTGCAAGCCTGCGGTCATAAAATATTGAATTTCAAGAATTCCTTACCATTTCTACGAAAAGTTGTTTTTTCCCCCATATAAAATACATGGACAAGTTTCAGAGCTTTATGGGACCTCTAAATATTTTTTGATAAAAAAAGGGGCAGATATACTTTTTTTGACATAAACCAATGCTAGGTGCTGAGAGCATTGAAATTCCGACTTTACTTTTTTTTTACCACCCTAATGTATTTATATGTGAACATATATGCAAGCTTTCATTGCTCTTGTCGGTTGCTTGTTGCTTTCACCAGTCTCGCATTCGATGCTATTTTTAGACCACAAATTCGCAAATAGATTTGCTTGCACTCTCAATCAGTGGCAATGGCTGTGTGTGTGAGTGTATAAAAGCGAATTTCATGCTTTTTTGTGGCTGAAATGCATTTACGATGCGCGCGCGCGCGTATACTCTCCCGCCCAGCTAAAGCGTAGCTGGCAAAATGTACAACATTGCTCTTTTCCAGCCGGCACGCAACGCCTTCGATAGCTCAGTTGGTAGAGCGGTGGACTGTAGAAGTTTCAGTTGTTAAATAGAGTGGCTGTGTGGCGGAGCAATCGGACCCATAAGAGTAACATACAATTTCCTTTGGGCAGATGATAACGTCTTGCATTGTCATATTCTACTGCAATCTTGATATGTTGAAATCCATAGGTCGCTGGTTCAAATCCGGCTCGAAGGAGACTTAATAAATTTTTTATTTTTTTTTTGAATTTTTATTTGACACATTTTTTCGGTAATGGTTTTTCTCTTTTTTTTTTGCAAAAAGTTGCTATGCTTTATTTTTGTTTGTGAAAAACTTTTTATTTATTATAAATATTTTGAAAATGCAGTTTTATTGTTTTCTTTTTTTACGCATTTTTAGGCGCATTTTTGGTACCTTATCTACTAATGTTGTTCTGTTGTGGCATTCCTTTATTTCTAATGGAAATTATAATGGGCCAATTTTCCAGCCTCGGCTGCATAGGCGTCTTCCGCTTGGCTCCATTATTTAAAGGTTTGTTTTTTAATTTTACAAAGTATGTTTTCTCAATACCTATTTATTTAGCTATTTCTACTACTTATGCAAATCTCATAAAATTGTTCTTTCTTTTAGGCGCTGGTTTCGCCATAGTGATTGTGAATTTTATTTGCACTTGCTACTACTCTGTGATTATTGCCTATCCAATAATGTTTTTAAGTAAATTACTATCTCATAAATTACCATGGATTGATTGCAAAAATGAGTGGAATACCGAATATTGTGTGGAGGTTTTAGAAGTAAGTGCTCAAAACCTGATTTGTTATTTGGTGGACTATTTAAAAAATTTGATGCAATATCGAATAAAAATTTGGGTATCAAATAGGGTGATTTACTCGGTTTTTCCAAACCGGTTTCTACCGTTTTTTTTTTATATATATATATAGGCGTTTTTTTTAAATCTTGATTTTTCAAATATCAAATAGACCGGATTTTTTTTATTGACCAAACCGGTCCTCTCATTTCATACAAATCTTGGCCTCTAAATAAAAATTTTGAGTTTCTCGAAGTTAAATGGATAGATCTACACTCTCGCTACAGCTCCGAAGAAGCTTTTTTATGGCAGAAGTACACTCCGAGGATTGAAACTGTCTGCCAACGGGCGACCGCTATTTCAAAAATATTTTTTGATTTTGCTGAATCCAGAAATTGAACCACGGGTCTCCCGAGTGGCAGCAGGCACATCTGAGCACTCTGCTACGGCGGCAAAAGCACTACTCAAACCCGAAAAAAAACGGGAAAAAGCAACTTATTTGTTTTACTTTGGATCTAAAGAAAAACTTTGAACTTATTTTCAGGGACGGTAACCATTATGAGTAAAATAATTTAAATCAGCATTTACTCATTATTTTATGATTTATATTTTTTCGCTCAAAAATAACAATTATTATTGATTTTTATTTTTTCGATCACAAGTAATGATTATTTTATGATTTTCATTTTTTCGCTCTCTGTGATAATAATTATTTTTAAGTTTTATTTTTCCACTTAAAAAAAATGATTATTTATAAAATTGCCTTTATTATGGTGTCGCTACCTCTGAAAAGGATACAACGGAAATCACGCTGGTATAGCTTTTGAGTTTTTTGAATGTACATTATTCTTAAGTGAAACAAATAAAACTGAATAATAATTGTTATCCCTGAGCAAAAAAAAAAAGAAAAACATCATAAAATAATCATTATTTGTTATCGAAAAAATAAAAATTACGTAATAATAATTATCTTTGAGCGAAAAATTAAAACTCAAATATTAATTATTATTTTTAATCTTTATTAGTTAAACTCGAAAAATAAAAATCATTGTAAATTACAGTGGGACGTACGAACTCAAATACTTGAGTGTAGTTAAAATTATTTTACGACGAATACAACTTGTTGATTTTTTTGATTAAAATTTAAAAAACAATGATTATTTTCCGTCCCTGCTTATTTTGCTTTCCTCTTTTCTAAATGAAAGGTATCATTAATCTTAATAGCTTTATTGTAATTTTTGGTCATGACTTCATACGTTTCATGCATTCATGCATTTTCACTGTATGAAAACTATGTAAACTAAACCCATTTTATCCGTTTTTTTTTTCTTAATTTTAAAATAGGGAACCGTTTTTTTTTTTTGTAAATTGCAATTTTTCGAATAACTCAAAAACCGGGTTTGGAAATAAGGCGAATAATCGAATAGCTTAGCATCAAATAAAAGAGAAAATTCTGTACAATAAAACTTTTTGGTGCATAATGACGAATGGGTATGGAACTTTTTTTTTGTTTCGTATTTAGAAAGCCTACTTTAAAAATATTTATTTTACTATTAACTTATTTTATGTTTTTTCCCCCGAAAAATTGATAAGCTCAATAAACTAAATCATAAACTAATTTTATTCCTGATTTCATTCGTCGAACAAATAATAAATTTATATTATTAAGGATTTGATACAACCTTCAATTAATTTGATTTTTGGTTTTGTTATTTGACTAATTGAAAATCACGCAATTTAAATAAAGGACCACATTGCTCTAATTCTAAGGAACTTCTTTTTATTTATTCCATAATTTAAATACATACGATTTAATGATTAGATTTGACCTTTTTCCATTATTTCAGTTAGGGAAACGTAATTTTACACACCATACCGGCTTTCGCACACCAGCCGATGAGTTTTTTCAGTGAGTATACTTTATACCGGTGTACGAAATTCCTGTATATATAAATATTTTAATATTCTTTTTAT